GAGCTGAGAGGCCCTGAACGTGAGTGGTCGGCTTGCAGGAAGCAGAATCAGCACTTCTCCTGAGCACATGTGACTGGAACAAACCTCCCCAGAGCCAAAGAGAGCCCTTGGTCCCTACTATGGGCTATGGTGACAGACACTCATGTCCTGTTCACACTCCCTGCATCGCCCAGATGCGGCGATACACCTACACAGTACAGTGTGGTGACCTGCATTAAGACTCTAGTCTTCTATTACATATTATTATTTAATAAAACAATGTCTCTGCCCAGAAGACACTCAAAAGAGAGAGAATCAGTTGTGAACCAGATTTGTACAGATTTCTATTTCATGCAGAATTACTTAAAACACTATAAAATTGAAAACATAAAACACAACAAAAGGAAAAGAGCTACCTAACTTGTGGGAAAACCTTAATATAGGAGGCTTTCCAGGTGGTGTTAGTGGTAAAGAACCCGCCTGACAACTCAAGAGGCATAAGAGACATGGGTTGGATCCCTGGGTCGGGAAGATCCCCTGGAGGAGGGCATGGTAACCCACTCCAATATTCTTGCCTGGAACATCCCATGGACAGAGGAGCCTGGCAGGCTGCAGTCCATGAGGATGCAAAGAGTCAGACACAACTGAAGTGACTTAGCACACATGAATTTAATGTGGGATACTGTCAAAACTTTAATAATGATGTTTTCAAAGTATGTGTGATTACTGAAAAACATTTATGAAAAACCATCGAGTGAAAAAGCACATGTGTGTCTGTGTATATATATTAATATATATAATGCCAGTTGTACAGATAACCTGAACATAATTTTATACCACAAAACTTACATGCATATAAAACATAATTATATGCATATAAAGATATGCATAGAAATAAATTATTCTAAAATATGAGTGACTATCTCTGACAAGCTCTCAGATAATTTGTATCTGCTTCTCTTTGATTTTTGTATATTTCCTAATTTTCTATAGTTTTATAAATAAAAAGGAAACATTCAAAATAACAAACTACAATGCAGAGCTAAAGCAAAATAATAATAATGCATGCTGTGGCCTCATCTGTGCCTCTGCTTTCAACCAGGGAAGCAGCTAGCTAGCTAGACATAGAGCACAAGGGCATTAATGAAGGATTACTGATACTTCGTGTGTGCACATACATACATACATACATACATATATAAACCTCTACTTCCCAGACTGACAGTTTAACCCTGACTTTTGCCTTTTTTTGCCATACAACCATAGCCTAGTTATCTCCTGGCCTAGAGCTCTGGATTCAGGCAGCACATGGAAACTGGACATGTCTACAGAGCACTGTGGTTACCATGGAAACTGGACATGTCTACAGAGCACTGTGGTTACCATGGAAACTGGACATCTCTACAGAGCACTGTGGTTACCATGGAAACTGGACATCTCTACAGAGCACTGTGGTTACCATGGAAACTGGACATGTCTACAGAACACTGTGGTTACCATGGAAACTGGACATGTCTACAGAGCACTGTGGTTACCATGGAAACTGGACATGTCTACAGAGCACTGTGGTTACCATGGAAACTGGACATGTCTACAGAGCACTGTGGTTACCATGGAAACTGGACATGTCTACAGAGCTCCATGGTTACCATGGAAACTGGACATGTCTACAGAACACTATGGTTACCATGGGAACTGTACATGTCTACAGAACACTATGGTTACCATGGGAACTGGACATGTCTACAGAACACTATGGTTACCATGGAAACTGGACATGTCTATAGAACACTATGGTTACTCAATGAATAGCTCTACTCACTGTCATATTTTGCCTCCCATTGTTATAATTTGGTTTTTATATCTATGTTAATCAATTATAATCCCAGTGAGGATGGGAATTATCTTATTCCCTACAGCACCATGCAAAAAGTTGGTTAAGAGCAAGTCTCCAATTAAACCCACAAAATAAAGACGAGACAATTAAGGAACACTTGAAAAGCACTCCCAGTTTAAACCTGTCCCATCGGCAGCCACATAAGACACCAGAAGGGGAGCACACACAGGGTGCAGGTACAGTGACCCACAGTGTCCCGCCTCCTACCAGGGACCTCAGGAAACGACTGATAAAGCTGGGTCTAGAATGCTTTCTCAGAAGCAAGCTTGAATAAGTAAAACGTACTGTACAACGCAAGCCAGTTCCATCTTTCAAAATATACATAACTTAAGACGGGGAAGTTTTTAATTTGGGGTAAGGCATTTACTAACTAATACAAATTATCTTTCAGCTTTATCTTCTAAACTGTAGGTCTTTCCACTGATTTTCAAAAGTACATACACATATTTCAAACTATGATTACCTTCAAGGTCCTATATGTTGAAAAAATCTTGGAAACAGTATAAAAGGATAAAATTCTATTTGTCATAAAATTGCCCAAGTATATGTCTAATATTTTAAATTATGATTGTCTTTTCCTTTACCATTTATTAATTTTCATATTATTATACTTTTCTATGTTGCACTATAAGGATCATATTCATGAATCATTTGTCATTTTTGCACACTTGAGAAGATGTGTCCTAAACCCTGGTGGAAAAAAAGAGGGGTTTAGTGAAAAGAAATGGGGTTTTGGAAACAGGCTGGGGTCTACACTGCAGCTCTCCCACTTACTGGGTGTACCACCTTGGCATGCAAGTGCCTTTAAATTGTTTCCTCATCTGTCACATAAATTAAAATGATTTAATTTTTTATGATTCCCACTTTCTGTTAACCTGCAGTAAACAGAAAGGTAGGTGAGTGGAGATAGGTATGAGATAGGATGAATGGAGATAGGTATGGGAGCCTGTCCTCAATTTAAATGCCCTCCAGCCATTCAAGACAATGCTACCTAAGGAAGCCTCCCCACCCCCCAACTGGGGGGGGGGGGGTGGGGGGGTGAGGGAGCACTTGCCAAGTCATTGGTTAGCAAATTGGAGGAGGATCCAATGGGAGTGTGTAAATGTGATCTAAAATGTCTTGACTGTACCTGTTTGTGCTTTAGCTTTGTATTTAAAAAGAAGGAAATAAACTTGAAAATTGTCATTATAAAAATGAAACAAAAATTAAAATATTTATTGCCATGAGAAACAGTCACCTTTGAAGCAATAAAAACCATCTAGTCTGTGAGAACTAAACGAGCTTGCCCATGTGGATGCATTTTAGCTGCCGTGTTCTCACTGCCATCGGTGTTTTACACATGCACTCATCCCACCCAGGATCCGCGCTTCATGACACCAACTACTTGCATTGATTGACGGGCTGACTGACATAGAGTTGATTACAAGGCTGTGTCAGTTCCATGTGCACAGCAAAGCGATTGTTAAAAACATCTTCCAGACTCTTTTCCCTTTTAGGTTACTACAGACTCGTCGAGTATAGCTCCCCGTGCTGTGCAGTAGGTCCTGGCTGGCGATCTGTCTTACGCGTGAACTACGTGTATTTAAACGCCACATCGGAAGCCCCATGACTGGCCCCGTCTGAGCCCCACGCTCAGCACGTGCCGAGCTCCTCCTGGAGTCTCTGGCCTCCGCTCCCCCCTCGCTCGGGGGCCTGCACTGTACCTGGGTCCCGGAGCCTCAAATGCTCTCCCCTCCCTTTGCCCCTCCCGTTCTCCACCCTCAGCTTAGGCCTCACTCTGAAGATGCCTCCCTGGAGGAACCCTCCTCCTGTAACCCAGCAGGGCGCCACGCAGCTCTCCTTCACCGACGCTGTCTCATATTGCCTGTTTACCTGCGGTGCCTGTTAGTCACACACCAAACAACTGTAAAGACTGATGAGTAAGAAGCTCTTTGCAGGCTCGAGTCAGGTTAGACATGGGGTCCAAAGCAGCCTCCGCTGAAGCCAGCGTCACTTGATTAATTAACACCGTGCTATCTTGCGAGCCCTGTGACCCTGGGGAAATTAGTTAACTTCTCTTGCTTGTTCTCTCAAAGAGATTCTTGGTTTCTGCTTCACAAATGAAGTCATCTATACCATTTTTCTTGATTCCACACACATGTGTTAATATACAATATTTGTTTTTCTGACCTACTTGACTCTGTATGAGTCTCTAGGACCATCCACATCTCTACTAATGACCCAGTTCAGTCCCTTTTACGACTGAGTGATAGTTCATTGTATATACATAGCACACCTTCTTTATCCATTCCTCTGCTGATGGACATTTAGGCAGAAAGAGACACACAGACATAAAGGTCAAACACATGTGCGTGGATTGCGGTGGACGGACTGTGAGGCTGGGACTGACGTATACACACTGCCATGTGCGAACAAGGTAACTAAGGAGACCCACTGTGGAGCGCAGGGAGCCCTGCGTGGTGCTGTGTGGCGACCTTAAACGGGAAGGCGCTCCAAACCAGAGAGGATGCACGTTTGCACTGAGGGGATTCACTCTGCTGCACCGTAGAAACTAACACCACTGTGAGGCAACTGGAGGCCAAGAAGACACTTTTTTAAAGAGACTCGCTTACATCAGAAACTAAGCAGAACGGGCACTGGTGACATTCGCTGGCTCAGGAAACAGGGGAGAAGACGTGCCAGAGGCGGGCACAGCCTCCTCCTCTGCCTCTGCCAGCTCCGCCCCGGGGACGGCCCTCCCTGCTGGTCCTGGAGACGTGGTTTCTCAGGAAACCCTTCCGTGCCTGGGCCCTCAATCCCCGCCTCCTCCCCCTCCCCAAGGAACTGAGTCCGCCATGCCTTCCTTGTGCATCACCAATGTTTCTCTTTCTTCAACATCATCCCCAACGGATCTAAAAATATTCTATGATTTCTTTTGTTTTAAAAAATAAAATAATTTTAAAAAATGACTCATTCCAGCCAAAGGATGACTTATTTGCAGCAGAAATCTACAATAAAGGGGTCTCTCCTCACTCTCTGCCACCCTTTCTCACCTTATGATCTTTTGGGCGCACTGCAGTCAAGCTTCTGCTCCAGGTAAGGTACTGAAACCGTTTCCAAGAAGCTCCTCCGGTCAAGATCTGTGATGGCTTCCGTGCTGGCCCCCGCTGCACAGGCGACGGCTCCTACCTCGCTGACACAATCTGTTCACCGGCCGCCTGCCTCACAGCGCCCTCCTTCTCAGAGGAGACCTGCAGCTACCGGGCCGCGACCTGGGCGACCCCGGGCCTCTGCTCCCCTGCCCTCTGCCTGCACACACCGCTCTGGCAGTCTCATCCATCTTCACGTCACCAGATGCACGTCTATACCTGTCAGACTCATCCTCCTAACTCCAGACTCGGATGCCCAGGCCCCTGTCCTGGCCCCTCCGCTGTCCAGCAGACGCACGTCCAAAGCCAACTCCCCTCCGCCCACCGCTGCCCGCACCTCAGCCAACAGCAGTACCGCTTGCCGGCTGCTCAGAGGGAAAAACGAGGCCAGCGTCGAGCCTTCCCTCTCCTTCCTTCCCTGCCCATCCAACCCGTCAGGAAACCCTACCTGCCCCGCCTTCAAACGTGCCACCCAACCGTTTCCCAACCACGGCCACGTCACCAGTGACCGCCTCTTTCCTGAATGCCTACAGTAGCCTCCTCATTGGTTTCTTTTTATTGATACTTCCACTGTTGCTCACCTTCACAGCCCTCCTCAGGACGCCCTTTAAAAGCAGATCATTTCACTCTGCCACTCAAAACCTCGCAGGGGCTTCAACTCTCACAACGCTAAAGGCAAAACTCTGCAGGGGCCACTTGGCCCCACGCCATCTGGACCCCCTTTCCTCTCTGACCGCTCTCTAAGTCCTCCCCTCTATCAGCTCAGCCACACCGTCTACCTGGGCACGGTCCAGGCCGGGTGGGTGGGTCCACACCGTCTACCAGGGCACGGTCCAGGCCGGGTGGGTGGGTCCTCACCGGCTGCCTGGGCACGGTCCAGGCCGGGTGGGTGGGTCCTCACCGGCTGCCTGGGCACGGTCCCGGCCGGGTGGGTGGGTCCACACCGTCTACCAGGGCACGGTCCAGGCCGGGTGGGTGGGTCCACACCGGCTGCCTGGGCACGGTCCAGGCCGGGTGGGTGGGTCCACACCGTCTACCAGGGCACAGTCCAGGCCGGGTGGGTGGGTCCACACCGTCTACCAGGGCACGGTCCAGGCCGGGTGGGTGGGTCCACACCGGCTGCCTGGGCACAGTCCAGGCTGGGTGGGTGGGTCCTCACCATCTCTTGGGCATGGTCCACACCAGGCGCGCTCACTGGGGCTGCTGCACTGTCTCCGGACCCGGACCAGCCCTCCCCGGAGGCTTGCGTGGCTCAGCCCATCCCCTCGTTCAAGCATTCGCTCAGACACCGACCCTGACTCTCCGTTTACACTGAAAGCTTCTGCCTTCCTTCTCCCAGCCTGGCTGCCTCCTCCTTCACCGTTCTCTAGCCTCCCCACCCCATAGGGCTGACCGCCTCTAACATCGGAAGTCACTTCCTGGATCATGTTTACTGACCGCCTCTCCCTACTAGAATATAAATCCCACGAGGCAAGTGCTCTTAACTGTTTTGAATCCCAAAAGCCTAGAACAGTCTTGGCACCTGGCCTGCGGCACTTGGTCAGTAACGGGGGCGAGGGGGCGACGCGAGGTGGAAGCCCACTGTCGGTGAGGGCGCTCTGCACCCGGTGCCTCCTGCGCCTCCCACGCGCCTCCCACGCAGGTTAACTCCCTCTGCAGCACGGTGAGCGGCTGGAGTCGGGGCACAGCCACAGACAGCCCCGTGGTTATCTTGTCCCATCTACTGATCCCGAAGCGGAGAGCTTTTCTCTAGGAATCAATAGCGTTCCAGGGACTCTGATTCATTGGTCAGTGGACAAAACAATGGCCATGTCTGAGTCACAAGGCCACCCCTCTGGGGGTGAGAACCTGTGATTGACAGCTTCATAGGCACCACATGCAGGCCAAGTGTTATCACCTAAATACAACAGCGTGTCACCAGATCAAATGGGCCAGGCGTATCAAAAGATGATCGCTCCCCTGTCTCATTCCTCTGAATTTTTTATTTTCTATTAGCCTTTTCCTAATTTCATTTTGTTCCCTCTTCTATTTGAGCATATGTTGTTTGTGAAAACCATGTTTCTAAAAATCAGAGTATTAAAAACCTGGAAAATATCACACGAGCCTTAAGATGCAGGAAAAAAGTATGAAGTCCAACACAAGAGGAGGCCATCACACGTCACAGGTGGTGCCTGACAACCACAACAGTAACTTCCTGTGTCCAAAGTACTGCACGTGCTGAGTACAAAGACTTGTAAGATAAGTTATTATTAACCACATTTTTAGGGATGACCAATCTACGGGATACAATGTTTCTTCTTCCAGGACCATGAAACCATGAAATGATGGATCCTGGATTCAAGGTATGTCCCTTTGGGGTATCTCTGGGGGTCTAGTGGTTAAGAATCTGCCTTCCAATGCAGGGGCCATGGGTTCAGTCCCCGGAGGGGGACCTAAGATCCCACCTGCTGTGAGGCAACTAAATCCACATGCTGTAACTACTGAGTGTGCTCTCCAGCCCAAGCACCCCAACTGGAGAGAAGACCACACCGCACAAGGAAAGATCCTGCATGCTGCAATTAAGAGCTGCTGTAGCCAAATAAATAAAAATATGTAAAAGTGTCTAGCCTTTTGAGTTCATATGTTACAATCTTCTTACTATGTGCAGCACAGCCTCCTCAGAAAAATTTTTCCAGCAACTGACATTTTTTTCTCACTTTAAAGTTTGCATGGTGGCCACGTTTTTACACAGCACCCAGATAGCATTATCACAAGGCTGGAATCCTCTCCACACCAGACCGAGTCCAGCTCCTGGTAACATAGCCAGACACGTGGTTTTATTTCTTCCACAGAATCCATCCAGGAGACACCGGCATGCGAGAAATGCAGGGCCGTGCTGTGCTTTCCCTTCCATCTTTGCGATCAGCATCCCTAGACAGTATTTCATCCCCTGTGACCGAACCAGCCCAGCATCATTAAGAAGCGGGAATTCTTTCCCAGAGTCACTAGAAATGACACTGTTCAGCCACACTGTCCTATTTTCATCCTCTCTGTTGCAATGATTCATCATAGTTTCAAGAAAGTGCTCCGTGAGACTTTTAAACACAGATTCATTCTGGCTTGGTGTATGAATATATACCTCCTAGTAATTCTGGGCGAGAACATTAATTCTATACAAAATTAGGTACTAGTTTTCAGATAACCCTTTCCCTTCCAACACAACGGTAAAAATACAGTCACTAAAGTGCTCGAAGGAACATAAGATAGGGGTTAAGAACATGGGTCCCAAGGCCAGGATCCCTCAGTGAAAACTTCAATTCTGTCCCTTCTGAACTGTGGGACTTTGAACAAACTACTTGTCTCTCTCCCTCTCTCCAGCTATGGAAAAGGAGAGCTGATCGTAGATCCTACTCCATAGGAGCGCTGTGAGCATTCAATGAGCCACACGAAAAGCAGTCAGAACAGTGCCAGGAGAAGATTAAAGGCTACACACGGGTGGGCATTCTGAGTTTACCCAGGCCTTTCATTTTACAGATGAGGAGACTTGGCAAAACGAGGTTAAGTTACTTGCCCAACATCATAAATCTAGTGTGTAAACATCTGCCAACCCTTAACCCAACTATTTTTACAAATGCATCATCTTTCCTTTTATATCCTGTCTTTTAACACATAAAATAGTTTCCATTCATTAAAAGTAAATGTTTAAAAAAGATTGTCTTAAACTGTACACTATGTGAGAACCAACTCTGTCCACCTGAACATATACCACAGTCTAGATGGTAATTAGCTCCAGATACGTAATGGAAGGACTCTTGAGAATCATGCACAAGCACTTCATGCCTTTACATGAGCAGAGTCCTATTCTTTTCTTATTCTTTTCAGCTAATTTGCCCTGCAGATGGACATCAGCAGAGGTACACTTCATAAAGTATGAGACACAGAAACGGACAACTCACCGTTCGTTCCAGCCACACGGACGGAAGAGGAACAGCGCGCTGATGGCTCTCGCCACACACCCATCAAGGTGTGGTGTCCGAGTCAGGAGTGTTACAGGGAGGCACGCTGGCAGAGGCACATACAGAGCACGCGAAAGCCCGACAGGCCACCCGGGCTGTGAACGACCTTCCCCGCCCCGCCCCGCCGCGCCCCTCCGCCCAGCGCCAATGCTAATGAAACCGCACCAGGTGTTCTGTGTCAACCTGAGGCCCCGCCGCCCTTGCGTTGTCAGCAGACGCGGTGAACAGGCTCGCAGCTGGCGCTGCATCTCCGCCGGGACGAAGCACAAGGCCAGAGCAGACAAAGCCAAGGCTGCCCCGCGTGTGCAGATGGAACGTGCGCGTGTGACACGCACACCCTGGGAGACGCTGCGGGGCCGCGCCGACGCTGCTTCTACTACAGAGGGCTTTTTAGAGGGAATTTATGTGCAGAAAGATGACTCTCCAGATGGTCTGAAGGCAGAAGAATTGATATCACTTCTGAAGAAAAGCGAACACTGGTCCCTTTTTCCCTCAAGTAGTCAATTATGCTTGAAATAGGTAGTTTCCCTTGGCATACCGTATATTTTATAATATTAAGCAAATGATAAGGGCTGAATGTAAAGAATCATATGAGAGTTGACCTGGAAACCTACTGCTGAAGAATGTGTCTGAATCGATCCACATCATCGCCTTTAGCAACACTCACTCTCCCCCTCCACCCGGGCGTTGACTCGCTCACCTCTTCACCAGGTACTTACTGAGGCAGAATCCGCAACCACTGCGCACGACCCCAGCTCAGCCGCCGTCAACTCCGCCAGGGGGCCCGCTGACTGGGAAGGGCGTGCGAATGTGCAGGACGTCTCGGCACACTTTCCTGTGGTGAACGCGCCCACGTGTGTCTCTGAATGAATGGCCACCCGAAGTTCACTACTGCAGCTGCATGCCTGCTATAATACAGGCACAAATACGGTGCTGAGGGAGGGAGATGAGCCCCGCCCCGAGAGAGAGCAGGGGTGACCCAGCCGATGGGTCTGGAAGGACTAACAAGGCGTCGACGGGAGAAGATGCAGGGAGCATCATGCTTCACACTCAGGCACCAGGTAGGGGGGGCACCTCCCGAGTCTCTGCTCCAGCCACAGAGGAAACAGCCCAGGGCCAGGCCAGAGTCAGACCTGATACCATGCAAAAAATGGTTTTATCTTATGGTCATCACAGGATCACCAGAAACCATAAGAGTTTAAGCAAGAGGGTGAGCCATGGTTTGGGGGAAAGCAGCTGGCAGCAGGAGACAGCCCAAAGTGGACCCATCCCACGGTAACAGCAGGAAGCCGCGCCCACAGGACAAGCCCAGGAGCTGCGCCGGCCAGACAGGCTCAGCGCAGGGCCCTGAACGCAAGAGCTGAGCTCAGACAGAGAGAATCTCCTTTCCCAAGAACCTGGCTTCATTCTTCCGAATGAAGACATCTCTATGACAGCGTAGCACCTGGCTGGAGCCGACTGTTTGGGGAAAAGAGAGGCTCATTAGAGAAAGGGAATGTGAGGAGATTCTAGGTGAGAGTGTCAAGCTGATGGAGCGATGG